GCTCCTAGTTATTTAGAAAGGACATGTGAAAATTCCATAGTTCTGTTTTGGCTACCTAGCACCTATTGATTGCCTCCCTATTTATGATGCTATGAGAGTTTGCTGTGTGGTTGTCAGCTCCCGAGGAAAACAGATATTTCCTGTTTTCCCCACCAACCTCCACTCAACTCCATGTCAGTTCATATGCAGTCTGAGGAAGACAAAGGCACAGATGTGCGTTTCCAGACATCTGGACTGAGAATAAGTCTGACAGGTTAAAGAGGAGTGGGAACGAGTTTTCAGAGCAAAAGTTAAAGAGAAGGTCAGCTATAAATGTAGGCCATTCCTTTTCTAAGGTGCAAGGCAAGCAGTTGTCTTTGATTTGGTTCCCCAACCTGGCAAAGTTCAACTGTCTTTTTGCAAATATGTTAATAATACACGTACGGAATCCAAGACAAAGAGCTACCTTGTGTGCAACAAATTTTTCAGGAAGTTATTTTCTCTCTAGTAAGTTATCATTTAAGAGGCAGTCTAAATTATTCACTGTGATAAATTTAATGGATGAGAAATCATTAAAAAAAAAAAAAGCCAAGACAGGACCAAAAGCGAATCCTCATGACTGCAGGGACTGGTCATACCAAGCTAGGTGCAGATGGCTCACCCTACATTCCTAGCTACTCAGGAGGCAGAAATTGACCAGAAGATCACAGTTTGAAGACAGATTGGACAAAAAGTTCATGAGACCCTACCTCAACAGAGAAGTCTGGGCACCTATAATCCAAGCTATGGTGGGCAGCATAAATGGAAGGATTGGCCTGGGAAAAATATGATACCTTATCTAAAAACTAACCAGTAAAAATGCTTGTGGGCATGGTTTAGCTATAAAGTGCCTGCTAATACTGGCTAAAATAGCAACAAAATCTCTTTTTATTGAAAACATGCATCACAATGAACAGAGTCAAAAAGTCTCAGTAGAGGAGGGTGGCAGGGTTCCCTCAGAACCCTGTCCAACTGGAGAAGGCTGGAGAAGGCACCCTTTGAAGAAGATCATTTCCATGACTCCACCTTGCCCTGAAGCCATGATATTCAACCTCCGCCACCTGAGCAATCCCTACGTGAACACTAGTTTACCTGTCCCTTTCATTCCCCTTTGGCCCAGTGCTGACCACTGTGAGGAACACCACTATGATGCAGAGAGAAGCCTATGACGTCAAAATGAACACTACTTTCTTCTTTAACTACCCAGCTGGCTGTGCCACCTCTGAGGAGCTGCTTTCTATCTACTTGGTCTTGCCACATCCGCCACGAAGAACAACTCCAGCTCATCTCTGTGGCCGTCTTCCTTGCCACTCCCCTCTCAGTACTCTCCTCAGTACTTTAAGAAGACAGGGCAACCCTGGAGGCACTCCCCAAACATCAGCTTCCTTTCTGCACACAGCACACAATAACCTAGCGCATGACCTACCAAGATGCCCACACCTCCAGGCCACCCGGGAGAAAAGAGCACAGCTGAGGAATAACAGGACCAGACGATCTGAATCAGCCTCCTCTACCACAGCTACACAGTATTTTGTAGTGACTAACTTTAGGCCAGCCCCTGCATTTTTATATGATTTAAATTTGACACTAATTAGACCTAAAACTACAAAGAGCAAACATTAAAAAAATCATTAAAATAATAAAGTTTGGTTTCTTATATATTTTTTGATATGAGTGAAGATACTCTTCACATAATTGTCAAAAAGCTCTATGTTTTTACTTGGCATTTTTATTTGTTCTAATTGATGAAAATGATATATATATCTGTCATGATAACATCATATTATGTACTGAGGACACTTCCAATCTATTCTGCTGGCAATTTTTAAGAATATGATGCATGGGCTGGGAAGGTGGCTCAGTGGTAGAACGCTTGCCTTGCATTTGAGGCCCTGGGTTCGATTCCTCAGCACCACATAAGCAAAAAGAAAAAAGCCGGAAGTGGCGCTGTGGCTCAAGTGGTAGAGCGCTAGCCTTGAGCTGAAGAGCTGAGGGACAGTGCCCAGGCCCAGAGTTCAGACCCCACGACCGTTAAAAAATAAAACAAAACAAAAACAAAACAAAAAAAAAAGAATATGATGCATTGTTAGTAATCATAGAGAATGTATTCCTCTAACTGAAATTCTGTATCCTTTGTTAAACATTTCCCTAAAGACCCATAATTTTGATACCTATACAGAAGTGCTTTATGTGCTTTATATACCATAAACTGGAATTAGAATTCCTGAATATAAGATTTCAAATGTCTTTTTTTATTTTGCTATTCTTGGGGCTTGAACTAGGGCCTGGGTGCTGACCCTGAACCTCTTTGTGCACAAGGCTAGCGCTCTACCACTTGAGCCACAGTACCACTTCTGGTTTTTCTGAATAGTTTATTAGAGATAAGAGTCTTAGGACTTTCCTGCCTAGACTGGCTTTGAACTGTGATCCCCAGCTCTCAACCTCCTGAGTAGCTAGGATGACAGGCGTGAGCCACCAGCACCTGGCTTCAAACTTCTTGAAATCATTTATTAGAAAAATGAATTACCTTTTAATTGATTCCTTACACAAATTCCTTACATAGTATTACTTGCTTAACATTGAACAGTGAGGCATTTGAAGAAAACACACAGTTTGAGATTTATACAAACAGTAATGAGAATCAGAAAAAAGGAGAAAATATATATACATTAATTATTCCCTGGCTATCTTCTTAAAATTAAAACATTACTTGTTACAAAGAAGCCTTTTAAGAATCACTTCTTAAAAAAGTAGCCTATTTTTCTCTCTGAGGATATACAAGGAAGAGTAGTGAATTCTGGGAAAAATCAGGCAGGTAAGGAGGATGAGTTGCTCTTACTGTGGGCACAGAACATCTTAAACCATGCCAATACATTCTCTACAGAACCAGAAAACAAATCAAAAGATAAGATTCCAAAGCAAAAATTCACACCTAGAATGTTTTACAATAACAAAAACAAATTACATGATTATGTTATAGAGATTATGCAGGTGTTAACTACACAACAACTTAAAAAACCAGCCCTACTGTTTTGTGACTGGTTTTTATGATGTAGCTATGAAATTCTCCATGTCAGGGCATGCACATATTTAAAAATTTCTGGAACTCAAACAAAAGAGGCAGATATAAAGACATGGAAATTAGATGGGAGATGGTTGGTAAAAACAAAAAAAACAAAAAAAACCCCACACTGATCACAAGATTCAGTGCAGAGTTTGAGCATGACGATTTTAAGAACTGGAAGAACAGAAAAAACAATCCTCCTATCTATTACGGCCTTGCTTCAAAGGTATAGTTACACTGATAAGCCAAATTCTGACCATTTCATGTGGCTACTAAGCATTTGTGGGGGAGACACAAAGACAGAGAACATAGAGGACATGACCAGAGTTCCTCCCCTGCTGCACATGGCCAGACTTGTCCATAGTAGAACATTCTGATTTTATGCTAATAGGACTCTAATTTCTTTTAGGGAAGGAACTTTGGCACTTTACTGGCTCATGGGTACTATGTAAACCTTATCATACTTAGTCATTTCTCAGTAAATGTAGTCCTGTGTCTCTGCCACTGGCTCCTACTGGCAGAAAGTTCAAACACCATCACTAGTGGACCTCAGCCTCCTGATGGCGCTGATGGCAATGTATCCAAGATGTTGATTTAAGCCAGTGCCTAACAACAAGATCCAGATACAAAGTGAAGTATAAACTTATTTGAAGGGAGAACAAAGTCACGCCCAAGGCTTAAGCCAGGGGACTCTGTTACTTCCCCACCTAAGATAAGGCCACTGGAAAACACTCAGGACTAAGAAACCTGTCACAAGGTACAAGGGGAACAGTTCCCTTTCTTCTGGCTTTTTTATTCTTCTTATTTTTGTCGGTTGTGGGGCTTGAACTCTGGGCCTGGGCACTGTCCCTGAGTTCTTCAGCTTAAGGCTAGCGGTCTACCACTTGAGCCACAGTGTCACTTCTGGTTTTAGTGGTTAATTGGTGATAAGAATCTCATGGCCCTTCCTGCCCAGACTGGCTTTGAACCTCGATCCTGAGATCTCAGCCTCCTGAGTAGCTAGGATTACAGGTGTGAGCCACCAGCACCCGGGTCTTCAGGCTTTTAAAGTGAAATTAAGAAACTATGTTTGTGATGGCAAGACTCATTAAAACTGTGAAACATACAGTAACCCACTTAAAATTCTGCCATTTCAATATATGTACTTAGTGTCATCAACATTAACATCACATTATATCTACATTTTATTGTTCAAGTGTCTATCATCTTTCTTCATCTATTTGAAAAACTGACAGCACTGTTTTCTGGAGACTCTGGATTCCTCTCTGACTGAACATTGCTGTACCAGTAAGGAATGAATAGAAATTACTCTCTTTACATACAAAGATATTCTAGCTAAAGCCTGAGCCTCTGGCCAGATCTTGAACCCACTAGTCTAAAAATACTCAAACAAGAAGTCCTTGCCTTCTCAGTTATCACTGAGCAGTCTCAATCTTGTCATTTCTGAAATGAAGGCCAACACCCTGGAGATGAGGAGGGAGGAGAGGGAAGTCAGACCCACAGTCTGTCTCCCTGGCATCGCACGTGGTATGGCTGCCCAGTGCCACTCCAGATGAGATCTTCTGTGCTAAAATGCTTTCTGAAGGCAATGCTGCTACCAAAGCTACCTACTGGGACACACTGAAGGGACTGGCTAAAAAGTAAAATTCTGCCCACTGTTCAAAACCATCCAGATCCTCCAGTTCTCTTCCATGGCAGATTACTGATTGTAACTGACAGACAAGATGAAACTGGAATCCTGGGCTCTAAATCAAAGTACTGCTGCGCATGTTGAGGAACTCACCGTTCTTCCTTTCGTTCAGAGGGGGCAGGTGCTGACTGGACTGCAGGGAGAGCTCCTGGAATTCATGAGCCACCGCTTCACTCTGAGGACTTGGCGCAAGAGGAGCTAGAGGTCCCAGTTCGTCCTCCGTGTCTATGGCCCCCACGTGATCCATTGTGTCCAGCTACTGGCGACAGGGAGTGTGAGATACACCTTACACGTGGCCTGTTGAAGAGACTGTCAGAACAAAGTATGGGTAAATAAATGGCACGCTAATTGTTCTTCAGCTTCCACAGAAGTGGCAGCGTAGGGTTCTAGTTCAATTTTACTGCTGTGTCCATTACCAATTCATTTACCTTTCTGGAATAATAGGAATAATAGGAATAAACTTTACTTATTCTAATTTATTTACTTTATAAGAGTAAATAAAGGGCTGGGAAGTCAGCTAAGTGGTAGAGTGCTTGCCTTATACACATGAGGCCCTGGGTTCGATTCCTAGCACCATATAAGCAGAAAAAGCAGGAAGTGGCTCTATGGCTCAAATGGTAGAGCGCCAGCCTTGAGCTGAAGAGCTGAGAGACAGTGCCCAGGCCCGGAGTTCAGGCCCCATAACCAGGAAAAAAAAAAGATGAAAGATATGGGACATAATTCTTTGGGCCCAAGAATGAAAGAAAGCTGTAACTATAACTATCAATTAGCATTCATCTTTGATGCAATGAAGACTTCAATGCATGTTAAAAATGAGATAAAAGTCAACTAATGCTAATGAAAATAAAGAAGCAGCTGGCTTGAAAGTCCCTTAGCTCTTATATATTAAGCAACATAAATTAGTCAACATCTACAACTAGCAATATTTAAGGTAGAGAATCCCTCCTCACCCTGGGTCTCAAAGTGAAAAGACCAAGGAATAATACTTTCAGGTAAGTACATGAGAAAGAAATACATCTATAATCACTGAGATTTGGGGGTGTTTTAGACAAAAACACCAATAGAGGAATTTAAAAAATACTCAACCCTCCAAAAGAAAGAAGAATAGAGAAATAAAAAAGGGAAAGAAAAACAAAAAACAAACTGTAAAACAGAAGGCCTTAAATCAACTTAACAGTAATGACATTAAATGTTAAGGGACTAAATATTGCAATTAAAAGACAGAGATTGGCAGATTTTTTATTTTTTGCTTGTCCTGTCTCTGACCATCTTTGTACTCAAGGATAGTGCTCTAACATTTGAGCTACAGCACCACTTCTAGCTTTTTCTGAGTAGTTTAGTGGAGATAAGAGTCTCTTGACTTTCTTGTCTAGACTGGCATCGAACCATAATCCTCAGATCTCAGCTGTCCTGAGCAGATAGGATTACAGGTATGAGCCATCAGCATCCTGCTAGAATATATTTTAAGTAAAACAGGTGTGTTCATAAATAATCTACTTTTAGAAAGAATACGTGAATAGGGTGGAGATAAATGAATTATAAACAAAGTCATATAAATGGGAAGCCAAGAAGGCTATAATGTCAAGTAATAGAGACTTGAAAAAGTTGTATTAGGTAGTTAAAATTTCAGATGAAATTATTTACTTCACTACAGAACACTGAAATGAAACTCCTAGGTTTTTCAATACTATTCACTTTAATTTCAAATGATTTATTTCAACAAAATCAAATCAGTTCATATCAACATTTTTCTAAGGTACCATAATGTCCTCAATAAGCCTAATGGAAAGCACATCCAAACATAGTTCTAGTGATATCAAAGATACTTTATGAATAGATTTAAAAAATAAGCCAGGTACCAGTGGCTCATGCTTAAAATCCTAGCTACTTAAGAGACTGAGATCTGAGGAATGCAGTTCAAAGCCAGCCCAAGAGGGAAAGTTTGTGAGACTCTTATTTCCAATTAATCACCAAAAAGACAGAAGTGGAGCTGTAGCTCAAGTGGTAGAGAACTAGCCTTGAGCATAAACATCAAGGATAGTGCCCATGCCCTGAGTTCAAGCTCCAGGACCAGCATAAAAAAAAATATGTATTTTTTTCATGGCAGTATTTTTTCATAGCAGATTTTTTCAATCTATTATGCTTTGACATCATGCTCACCACCTTCAACTCCAATGCATCCTCTGAATTAAGAAAATTATAAGCTAAGCAAATCTTTACAAAATGAAGCAAAGGGGAAATTAATTTTAATATTCATGAACATTTTTGATGAAGTATAGATTATATTCTGAAATATTGCTAGCTGTCATATTAAAATCTACTTAAGCAGCTGCTTGACAATTTCTTTTGAAAATGAAATTCAATATTCATCATAAAATCACTCTAATAGTCTCTAACTGGGATGCTATGTGTAGGAATCATTAATTAAGATGGTAAGAAACTGTATCAGAATGGATTTTTTCACTGGGTCATAATTTAGATATGAGAGTAAAATGATCACTTAGCTCTAACTGGTCAAAAAAAAAAGACACAACACTAATTTGGCTGATCTGACAGAATGAGCAAATAGGGGCTAAATACCTTACAAATATCATTAATATAATTGGATCCCAAAACAAACCATGCCATATTATCTGGCACTAGCCTGAAGCATAGAACAATAGGATCTGAGATACTGCTTCTACTCTCACAAAACAAACCACTTCCATGTCAGATAATACCGTCATGATAGAAAAACTACAGGAAAAAAAAAAGACAATGCCACAAACCAAGGAGCCATTATATTTTCATTTCTTAAAATCATCATTTCCTCATTCATTTTTTCAGGATGAAGCAAAACTAACACCAAGAATCATGATTTTAAAGAGATTCTGGGTTAGTGGGTTAAACATTTGTTTTGAATTTAACACAAATCCAAAGGCAACTTTCTATCCTCTGGACCTTATTGTTATAATGACTAATATGAATGGCATACTAGTAAATAAAATGGCTATAATCACTGCTATCTATGTACAAGAAATGTATATAGCTCAAAGATATCAGCATTAAATTTCAAAGGTTCAATAGGTAACTAACTGATTGAACATAGGTAGATTATACAAAAAAAAAAGTTTTGGCAATAATGTTTTGCTATTGCCACTGTCCCTGCCCTTTATTTTTTTTTTAATTTTTTATTGTAAAGCTACTATACAGAGGGTTACAGTTACATGAGTGAGGTAATGAGTACACTTCCTCTTGAACATTGTTACCCCCTCCATTGTTTTCCCCCTACCATCCCTTCCCTCCATACCTTCCTCGAGGTTCTTTTTTTTTTTTTTTAATTGTGATTAAGTGCTTACATAATTTCCCAAATTTCACAGTATTGTGGAATAATGATGCTCATTTAAAGTCACAAGTTCATTCTAATTTCCTGGAGCAAATTGTCTGTCACAGTCTATAACATATAACAGTGTACACATATACACCATACATGTGATCAGCAGCATGGGGATATTTAGTAGTGGTTCAACCAGATGAGTAGAAGTTCTTTGTTTCTTAAGTCCTGGTAATTTTGTCATATCACCTAACATTTTGGATTTAGCATCCACTTATCAGGGAGACGATGTACCATTTGTCTCTTTGCTCTTGGCTTACCTCGCTCAACATGATTCCTTCTAGCTCCATCCATTTCCCTGCAAATGCCATTATTTTGTCATTTCTAATGGCTGCATAATATTCCATTGTGTACAGATACCACAATTTTTGGATCCATTCATCTGTGGTGGGGCATCTGGGTTGTTTCCATATCCTAGCTATTGTGAACAGTGCTGGGCTGGGAAGGTGGCTCAGTGGTAGAGCACTTGCCTTGCATGCTTGAGGCCCTGGGTTCGATTCCTCAGCACCACATAAGAAAAAAGCCGGAAGTGGCGCTGTGGCTCAAGTGGTAGAGCGCTAGCCTTGAGCTGAAGAGCTGAGGGACAGCGCCTAGGCCCAGAGTTCAGGCCCCACGACCGGACCAAAATATAAAAATAAAAAAAAAACAGTGCTGCAATAAGCATGGAGGTGCACGTGTCCTTTGTCCCTGCCCTTTAAAGGTCCCTGAATCACACACATTAAGGACACATCTAGTTAATAGCCAATATAATGAACTTTCTAAATACAAGTAACAAAGCAAAGTTGGATAAAGAAATTCAAAGACCAAGTTAACTACATACACAAAGTAATTCCCTGCATCAGAAAAGTATTCACAATTAAGTCCTGTGATCAAACAGAAAGATTTGGGTCAGGAAACAGAACTGTATGTCACTGTTGAGGCATGTCGATGATGTCAGCTGTTAGCTATTTTACATTATCTGTTCTTCCCCCAAAATTCCTGGTAGCAACTTGTAAATATCTGCTATAAAAGTTTACAATTGATTTACTAATGTGAGCATAAAATCATATCAACTGGCCATGTGAAACTATTAGCATACTATTAGCATAGTTATTTGTTTTCTTCTTCCTACCCTTTCTCCCTCCATACTGGGATTTGAACCCTGACAGGAAGGGGAAGAGTCTCCAGAGATTTAATTGCAGTAGGTCAGAGAGAAGGATTTAGTGTATAGCCAGAGTTGAGAATGACTGATTTAGTGGAACCCCTTATTTTAAACAGAGAATAAATCACTTATCTAAAGAGTGGAAAGACAAGAAAGAGGCAAATTACTACAGTCTATATGAAAAAGAGAATGCAACAAAATTAAGACAGTGGTATCAAAGCCAGGCTACCAATTTAGGGCCCATATTCCTTCCACGAACACAAAACACAGCTATGCCAAGATACAAATGCAGTGGAATGAAAAACATGAAAAATGAAGAGAGTCAGCTTCAGACAGTGGGGAGGAGCAGTAGGGAGAGGGAGATGGCCCATGTATTAGTGTGTACTAGCACAGGCTTGGAAGCTGGGTGTGCTGTCAGGCACTGTGCTGGCCTCCGGCCTCCCTGCCAGCAGGGACACAGCCCTGCTTATCGGGAGGTCCTAGTGGCTGAGGAAAACCCCTCCTCCCGTTGTTGCAATTTAGCAGTGTGCTCACGTCATTTTGCAATTAATCAAGGAAAGAAATAAAATCTACACTGTTTGGACTACAAATAACGGGATTTTTTTTTTTTTTTTTTTGCCAGTCCTGGGGCTTGAACTCAGGGCCTGGGCACTGATCCTGAGCTGCTTTTGCTCAAGGCTAGCAGTCTACCACTTGAGCCACAGTGCCACCTCCCACTTTTTCTGTTTCTGTGGTACTGAGGAATTGAACCCACGGCTTTACGCATGCTAGGTGAGCACTCTACCACTAAGCCACATTCCCAGTGCATAGAACATCTTTTAAGAGAAGATTATAATTCTTTCAAATAAACAGCTTCTAAATAGTTTTAAAAATTATTTGTAGCAGTTAGATTTCATGCATAGCCATTAAATATGTAACAAAAATGTACTATGAACATACCGAATACTAATGCTATATACTATACTGATGTATAGAAAACTTACTAATAGCACTTCTGTGCTAAAAATGGTTGTTGGAGTTCTAAGGAATGCTAATGGGATGATTTGGGGTTATTTTCATTGGTCGTGGGGCTTGAATTTAGGA